CTATTAAATTTTCTATGACTATCAAAAGCATTCAAAAAATTCAACTTCTTTCAGAATTATCCCTAATTTTAGACACTATTTGGTACAGAATGAACACATTTTTTTCGTTGCACAGTTCCGATATTTTATTTACACTCTTAGACGCTTTAGACCAACACATTTTCCAACACATTTTCGCACTTATAATAACTACACGTAGAAACGCACACTTATAACACTTTAAGTTTAGAAGCAAACTGTTCTTATATACCAAATAACAAAATTTTTCACAACTTGTGAGAAATGATTTTGCACTAATAACTACTTTTTAATTAGCGAGAAATATAAAAGAAAATATATTTTCATCGAGGTCAATTTCTAGACGCAATTCAACTGCAAATTATTAGTTAAGTTAAATATTCACATTACACATAATAGTATATAGGGATATGTATAGCAGACAGCAAAAACACATGGACTATAGAGAAACCGGAAGAAATGCGCATCGGTACACTGCGCAACAATGCGCTAGTGAAGAGCGCCGATTTAGAATACGAGTCAACTATAACGTTTCACAAACTTTCACTAATGATTCGTAAACATTCAAACAGCCATTGATATCAATTCAGCATTAAATCTAAAACAATTGGTCACATACTGGCATTCTAATCAATCCATGACTCGTTTTCAATCGTTAAGTAAAGTTAAGTAACCATCAACGGAAAAAGAGTCCCGTCTCAAAGTAATATACTAATCCATTAATGGTTGACGGACTTTTTCTTTCCGTGAAGAGTGTACTATAGTATTTTTGATCGCAGGATCTGAATTTAATGTTAGATATAAGAATTTCAAAATGGCGGATCCAATATGGCGACCAAAAGTTTAAAAATTGTTTAGATCCCTTTGAAACTCAATACTTGGGGGTTTTTGGGGTCGCTGAATCTGAATCCGAATGTCCGTATTTGAAAGAATTAATTTTTTTTAAAAAGGAAATAGATAAATAAGATTATATAAATAATGACATCACTTACAATAATTTGATATAAGTTTCAAGGGAATTTAAACCATTTTAAAAATTTTATTCAGATTTAGCGACCCCGAAAACCCCCAAGTATTCAGTTTCAAGCCCCAAGTATTATTAACTCTATAACTGTTCTAAAGCTTTAGAATGTTAAATAAACACAGATGTTTTATTAACTAAATTACCTGTTTTACTTTAACTTATCTACTACTTAAAACCTATCAAAAAGTAGTTTTAGCAGGCTAGAAAACAGGGACCGTCACGAAGCAAAGGTATCATGTCGGTATCGTGTCGCTACACGATACGATTCAGCCACGGAGAAAAGTATCGTGTCGCGACACGATACCGACACGATCAGATTTTCGTATCGTATCGCATTACATAAATAGCCGAATCAATTAAATGACATATGGACAATCATATTATACAAAATTACAAAATAATATTGGGGACCATCCATAAATTACATAAGATAATTTTTTTAATTTACCCCCCCCTCCCCCTCATGTAAGATATTTTACATACATTAGCGACATTTTTTATTGTTTGTAAGAATTTGCAGAACCCCATACCCCCTAAATGTCTTACGTAATTTATGTAATTACATTTCATATAATAACTTAGGTAACTTAGTAACAAATTCAATATGGCGGACATGCGCAGAAGTGCAATTTAGTATTTATTGCTGCGCAGTAGTTGCTCCCACACTTGGACATGCGCAATAGTGCAAATTAGTACTTATTGCTGCGCAGTAGCCTACCAAAACACTTGGACATGCGCAGTAGTGCAAATTAGTACTTATTGCTGCGCAGTAGCCTATCAAAGCACTTGGACATGTGCTGTAGTGTAACTTGATATTTATTGCTGCGCAGTAACATAATTTAGTATTAATTGCTGCGCAGTAGTCTAATCTAGTATTAATCGATGCGCAGTAGTCTAGTTTAGTATTAATTGTTGCGCAGTATGTATGTCTAATATACTGCGCAGCAATAAATAGTAAATTGAACTACTGCGCAGCAATTAATACTAAACTAGTCTACTGCGCATCAATTAATACTAAATTAGACTACTGCGCAGCAATAAATACCAAATTACACTACTGCGCATCAGTTAATACTAAATTAGACTACTGCGCAGCAATAAATACCAAATTAGACTACTGCGCAGCAATAAATACCAAATTAAACTACTGCGCATCAATTAATACTAAATTAGACTACTGCGCATCAATTAATACTAAATTAGACTACTGCGCATCAAATAATACTAAATTAGACTACTGCGCAGCAATAAATACCAAATTACACTACTGCGCATCAATTAATACTAAATTAGACTACTGCACATGTCCAAGTGTGGTGGTAGACTATTGCGCAGCAATAATTACTAAAGTAGATTACTGCGCAACAATCACTTCTAAATTGCACTTCTGCGCATGCTCACATATAGTTGTAGCATACTGCGCAGCAATAAATACTAAATTCCACTACTGCGCATGTGCAAGTGCAGTGGTAGTATACTGCGCAACTTAAAATATATATATTTTGGTTTTTACAAGATAGCCGTATATGCGTCATGTGCTGATAAAAAACATTTTTTAATGTAACATGTGCGACACGTTAATTTCGTATCGTGTCGGTATCGTATCGTGTCGCGACACGATACTTTTCTCGACACGATGCATCGTGTCGGGCGTCGACACGATACCGACACGATACTGATTTTCGTGTCACATCGTGTCGGTGGCGGTCCCTGCTAGAAAATAATAGAATTTAACATTTAGCCCCAGCATGGGGCATAGGACAAAACATGTATTTTGCGCGAAAATATTGGAAATTTTATTGAAAGTTGTTGAGGACAAGTTGCCCTCCAATATTGATCTTTTTACATTTGCATCTAAGCAGATTTATTACCTAAAAAAACACATTTTTGCAAAATTTAACATTTAGCCCCAGTCTCCCTTACTAATTTAAAATTAGAAAATAATTAAATTATTGCAAATTTTTTCGACAAATTTAATTAAAATTGTATTGGAAATAATGTAATTCGCATATAGAATTTAATAAGATTTATTAAAAAGCAATTTAATTTTTTTGAGAAATTTTATTAAAAAATTGAATTGGAAATAATTTAATCTCTTTACGAAGAAATAAGAATTTTTATTAAATTTTTTGAAAATAATTGAATTGTTTTGAAAAACTTTATTAAATTGAATTAAAATTGTACTGTATATATAATTAAATTCGTATTAATAATTTTACTAAATTTGATTAAAAATAATTGAATGGTTTGAAAGAATTTTATTAAAGTTGAATTTTTAAAATTTTGAGTTTGAAATTATTCAAAAATTAAAATTGATATTTGAATAGATAAATTAATTATTTCTAGATAAATTATTTCTAAATAAGCTCTATTAAACAGATTACTTTTATCAAAAAGAATTTATGAAATGAAAAGAAATTTTTTTTACTGAAAAAAGGAATTCCTCCATTATATTTAGCTATAGAATTTATCAGTTTTTCAGACATCATTAATGTCCATGTTCGCGACATTTCCGCTAACATTTCTAGTCATTTTCCTCTTTCACATCAAGTATTTTTCCTTGTTCATCGCTTTTCCAGCTTGTATCACGTCCTTTTTCGAAACTTTCCGATCTTCAATATCCAATTGCAAAAAATCAGGGAATATTCTCTGGAGAATTTTCTATATTCTGACTAGATTTTCAGTAATCGAGTTAACGCTATTTTGTCCTTCCGCTTATATTAAGGGCTTTATCTATATCCGCCGATGATCAGAAATCTCTCACGAGTATATAATAATACAATCAGTTCGCAAATATACCAATATTATACAGATTTTCATCCACATTGCTAAAGTGCTAATCTGTTATCGCCTCTGATTCTCAAAGGGCAAATTTTATTTTCTTTGTTCATTTTCTATGCAACAGAATGTAAAAATAAAAATGCTTCAAATTTTATTAGAGTTTGATATTTAAAAATTTATTTTCCACTTGGAGGAAATTTAGTAAAAAATTGTAAAATTTTAAAAAAGAAAAAAAAGCCAATTTTTTCGAGTTTATTTAAAAACTCGTTTAAAATGCAAGATTTTCTTCTTTTTTTAACCAAGAGCATCATTAAATTTAATCCTTAAATCTGAAAAACTCATTAGTCTCTTTAAATATTCATCAAAAGATGTCGCGAAAAAATTATGAAAAGAACCATCTTATTATAAAGTTCTCGAGTCATTAAAGCTCTCTTTTTCTCTTTCTCGGAGCTATGAGAGCAGTCACGAAAAAGGAACTCAAATTAATAATTCCGATTTTACTCAAATATTCAAGAAATAAATTGAACAACCAAGAAAAAAGTTTATGTTTTTTTGTACCATATGTAATTACGAACGGAATGTGAAATTAGCAAACTATTTTTTCCTGGCAATTTTTAGCAGGGACTCTTTCCAACACAAATGAACACAAATATCAAGTGTGTGTTTGTGTTGTGTTCAGAACACAACACAATTCAAAAAATTGAAATGTGTTGTATTCTGAACACAAACAGATTTCATTAGTAAATTGAACTCGGCACATGTGTTTGAGCAAATGTGTTTTTTCGAACACAAACACATTTCAAAATTTGAATTGTCTTATGTTCTGAACACAATACAATTTCAATATTCAAATTGAGTTGTGTTCTGAACACAACACGAACTCAACACAAACGTTTGGTAACTGTCCCTGATTTTTAGGATGGCTTAAAAATCAATAGAGAGATTTTTCAGAATATTATTTAACACAAACGATTCATTTGCATGAATTTGATTTGTTTGAAAATTTGTTTGGCTATTACAATTTTTTTGCCAACATGCATAAATATTTGCACTTTAATTTTGATATTAGATTAGATGTTATTCTATTTAAAAAAAATTAAATTTAAATTTGATGATTAGTTTAGAAGCTTCAATGAAGAAAAGTTTTGGTTATTAAAAAACAGAAAGTGATGCTCACCTGAACGAAAAGTGACAACTCGTCACCGAGTAGCATATCTCGGCAAACATCTTTACAGGTTGTTTCCAGAGTGAGATAAACTAAACTGCTTTCAATTCCTGTATGTACTCGGACCCATCCACTGCCAGATCCAACTTCAACACTAACTCCCGAATCCCAGGAAGAATTAAACGTTTCTTGAAGCGTTGTATTTACAGCACTTTGCGAACTCGTTATCGGACTTAAACTTTGTATCGAATCGGTGCTAAAACTTTCACTTTTCCCCATTGAATCTAAACTTGCTGTATCATTATTTTTCTCAGTGTCAAAACTGCCGATAGTGTCGTTCAAATTCTTTAGAATTTCATCCTCAAGGATTTTTTCCTTACTCGATATTTTCGTCATATTGATTGTGTCTTTCGATTTTTTGTTTGGTTCTCTGCTGCAGTTTCTTTTTGATTCTTTGATGATATTACTGTTTGCTTCTTTGCTGCTATTTCTGTTTGGTTCTTTGCTGGTGTTTCTGTTTAATTCTCTGCTGCTACTTCTGTTTGTTTCGTGACTGCTATTTCTGTTTGCTTCTTGGCTGCTGTTTCTGTTTGCTTCTTTGCTGCTGTTTACATTTGTTTCTTTGATGCTTCTATTTGATTCTTTGCTGCTGTTTCTGTTTGGTTCTTTGCTGGTGTTTCTGTTTGATTCTCTACTGCTACTTCTGTTTGCTTCTCTGCTACCATTTCTATTAAATTCTGGAAATGGTTCCGGAAACGATTTCTGAATCGATTCCGTATACGATTTTTGAAACGACTCTTGCAATTGTTTGGTGGACATTGAATGATTGTACGCTTCTTGTGCCAGCTCCCGAGTGGGTGATCCATTTGGGATATTAAATCTACTCCGATAAGTGCTGCTGCCTCTTTGGAAGTTGGAGTCTGACTCCGGATATAAACGGGAACTTTGAAGACGATCCTCTGATCTAATGACTTCCTCTTTGACTCGACTGTTGCGGTAATCGTTCGCGACATAAAATACGGAACGCGATACGTCTGACCCATTTTCGATAATCGATGTTTCATCGATCGGTTTGAGTTTATTGTCAAAATTATTAAGTTCTATTTGATGTTTGACGAATTCGGGTCTTATGGCCAAACTGAAATTATCACTCGATTCGGATTTTTTCGGATCCTCTGTTTTTTGACTTGACAACAATCTCTCGCAGTAATCTTTCGAGAAGGTGAATTTATTAATGTCGACTTTCTGCTTAAACAAAGCGTTTCTTTCTTGATTCACTTTTTTTGGCATCACTTTTGAGTACATTTGAAAATTTCTGAGATTGTCGTCGAATTTTTTGTCCTTTTCCAAATTCTCCTTGAATTCGGATTTTTTATTCTTTCGATGGAACTTCTCGCAATTGGAGAATATCTTTTGATTCAATTCGTGAATGAGTTCAAGTCGTTTTGATATTGATTCATTGGTCCTGTCGACTTTTTGTTTGGCAGCGATCCACCTTCTTTGTGCAGTGCTGATGACCTCTTTGTTTTTTTCTCTCTTTGGCAAATTATTATCATCATCAAAGGTTGCTCTCTGACTTTTGTTGACGATTTTCGAATCGATTGTTGACTTGTAATTTTTCTTTTCGTCGGGAAATCCGGACACGTTCATCAAATCGAGATCTTTTGATTGAATCGCGGATTTGGTTCTGCATTTTGTTGGGGGATTCGTTTTTCCTCTATCGTCATTGAGTTGGTCGTGATTAGGATGGACATCAATGGCGGTAGTCGAACCACTACTGAGACTTATCCTTTCATTGAGATCCCAATTCATATCATGTACTTGCTTCATTTTATCTTCATCATTCACATTTTTACTGACTATTGGACACAATCCCAATTTCTGATTGAGATCGGGTTTTATTCGAGTATCTGGAATGGAATTCTTAACTTTTCTTGGAGCTAATCCCCTTGTTGAGGACAATCTTCTGGATCGTCGTAATTTCGATCCTGTCTCGGCGAAATGTTGATTTCCTGTCGCACTGGTAATCACCATTTTTAATGCTCACTTGTTACTGTCTGATGCGTGTTAAGTTTTTGAAATTTTTTTTCATCGATCATTTTTTATTGTCGTTTTCGCAGCTTGCATGTTTACTGTGGAAAAATGTAAAAGATTAATTATCGTTGTCACGTTTCTACTCGGCAAGTTTTATTTTATGTTTAACTTCTTTTTTCCAAGCAGACTTTATTGATTGACCCAGTTATCGCGTATTCATAAATTGCTTAGATTGGTGAATTGAGATTTTTTGGCAACGACATAATATTTTTCAAATGAATGAGAAGAATTTGTTTTTGTAATTGAAAATTCTTTTTTATTATAAACTAGTGAGATAATTAAAATCTATTTTGTTTCAAGATTGAAAATTCGAATACATTGAATTTTTATTATAGATATGTTTCAAATTTGATTGCACGATGTATTCTCTAAATTTTAATTTGTTAAAAATAAATAATTGTTAATAACAGATTGTCTAACTTTCTGCTTCAACAATTAGAAAAAAAGTAAAAAAAAGATATATTTGACTCTAAGACAACTAGACTTTTTATTTGTTTTAAATAAAATTGGTTTAAATAAAATTTTATTAATTGGTCCAAACAAAAATTTTATTTAAGTCGAATAACATTTTATTTGGTTCAAATAACAGTTTTATTTACATCTCAAATAAATTATATTTCGTTTAAATAAAATTTTTCTCTGGGTGATAATGTATGACTTTTCGGCCTATGTTCGACAATTTTCCAAAAAATCATATTTTTTTGAACCAATTTTCAAGGACCATGACTTTTTTTACTTTTTTCCAAATATTATAACAAAATACCAACAAATTTGGTATAAACTAAATTTTCCATTTTTATGGGGCGAAAAATAACTGTAGTCAAATTTTTCAAAAATTATTATTGCTTAATTTTTTGAGGATAATAAAATTTTCGAAATATGTAATTAAAAATTACAAATTTAATAAATCAGTAGTTTTTAAATAATTCAACTTTTGTAAAATTCTATTGAAAATAATTGATTTTTTTATTATTTCATTAAAGTTTTTGAAAATTAAATTTTACACTGCATTTTTATTTATTTAGATTTAGTTACATTGACAAAACAAAAATAATGCTTACTCGTACAGAATAGTAAATATTTGTAATTAATTTTCTATGCAAATTTTGCAAATAATTGAATTCTCAAAAAATTTCAAAAAAAATGTTCAAATAAAAATTTGAAAATGAAAATTACTAATAATTAGCTTAAAAATATTAAATTAAAATATTTTATTAAAAAAAGCAATATCCAAACAATAATTGCATTAAAATTTTAGAGAAACAATCATTTTCAAAATTTTTTAATGAAATAGAGGAGAACGGGGCGAGGCAGCCAATTGCTTCTTATTTCTGCATAATTTTTTCAAATCGTGCGCTATTGATAATGTAGACTGCTTATGGTAGTTTACTTTAGTTGCTAACAGATGGGCATTGTTGCTGCAGCAGTTTAGCAATGACAGTATCATTTATGAAAACAGACTTTTTGGATGTAACTTTTCTAAGAGATATTTTGGTGTTTTAGTTAATAGAGTTACACGAATAAAATTCTTGTAATGTGATTTTTAATGCAGAATTTAGTGCTGAAGACGATGGGGTTAATGGAATTGCGATATTTTTAATATTACGGGTTTTGTGGATGTTTTCTTAAAAAAGTACTCGTGGGGTTAGGCAGCCAACACTAAATTTTTCGTCTTTTTGTGTTGATTTTATTGGTTCTTCTAAATGTTTTCTCTTTTTTTCCTACTCCAATACATTTTAAACTTAACATTGAATTTTTTAAACCATTTTTTTAAAATAACAAATTTATATTTCCTCAAAATGTTAAATTGAATTTAATTAATGTTATTATTATAATATTATTTATATGTAAATTTTTGAATTTTACTAACAAAATAAAAGTAAGTTAAGGACAACTACCTTGTTATGTTTCACTATTAGCAGAAAATGCCTAATTATGAGGAGAAAACAACTATAATTATTAGTAGAAGAAAACTAATAATAAACTAAAAATGATTAATTATTAATAAATAAATAAATAATGAAAGTATAGTCAAATTTGACTAATCGAATTAGAAACAAAAAGTTTTAGCTATTTAAAAATAATCTAAAAGCACTATAAGTGACTAAATTTTTACCATAAAATTAGTTATTTCGAACGAATTGAAATTTAGAGACCAGGGGAAAATTTGGCATTGAGAAAAGTTTCAACAGATTGAAAAAGCGAATACGTATTTATGATAATCGTTTTATGATGATTGTTATGCGGCAACCGTATGGCGACACCATCACCATTTCAGGCCGCCTCTTGCACCCGAACCATCCCATTTCCCTCTCGGCAACATCCTGCTCTTTTTCTACTTAAACTACTATTATGTACTGTGTGCCACTCATAAATAAATTATAGAATTATACGTGTGGAATGTGTTTAGATTTTGTTAGAGAGAAAACAAAAGAAAAAGCAGCAAATTTCCCCACCAAAATTTATGTGTGACAAGAAAATATTTTCAAAAGTGAATGCATATGAAATTTGAGTTTTTTTTGTCAATTTTTGCTCGAATATAGGAGGACAAAATTTACAATGTATCCATAAACTGGTCTCGTAAAATATGTGAAGAGTTTTGCTGCATTTTATCCCCTTTTTAGAGGGAGAATTTCTTATTTGGATAATGTCATTCCAAAGTATTAGAATTCCTCTCGAGATGTAACACATTTTTCAGCTATAAGCATTTTCTATTCTCTTGAAAAATTTTCCCTTTAAGTTCCCTTTTCTGTTTTGTTTCAAGGGGAGGGGTAAAAATATATTTTCGACCAATTTCTGAGCTGTCATGAACAAAAATGGTTGGTTCGTAAATATATACGAAAAGTAATTCTGAGTAGGGAAAAAAACGTTTCATATCTCTATCAGGGGTCCTGCGATTTTCATTCTATTATTTTTTTTGTCAAGCCAAGAAATATTTCTACTTTAGAATATTTCATTTCATTTTTTTTTTTTATTTTCTTTTAAATTGTTTGCGAATTTTTCATTAAATTTTTATTTACTTTCTTTTAAATTATTTACGAACTTTCCATTATTTTTTATTTACTTGCATTTAAATTATTTCCGAAAATTGCTATTAGTTACAATTTGAATCTAAATTATTTTGGAATTTCATTTGTTTTTTAAAATTAATTCACAGTAAAAATGTTAATTCAAAGTGAAAATTAATTTTTAAACCAAATCTCAAAATCAATTTGCATTAGTTAGTTGGTAATTATTTGTGTCCCTAATTTTTCTAAAAAGAAATGTTTGACTCAGAGTCTACTTAACCATTTATTTGTTTTAGGTGCATTTTATTTGGTTCAAAAACTTTCATTTTGTTCAAATAAATTTTAATTAATTCAAATAAATTATATTTGGTTTAAAGAAATTTAATTTGGCTCAGATAAATCTAATTTTGCTCAAATAAAATTTTGTTTAGTTGAAATAAATTTTATTTGGCTCAAATTAATTTTGTTTGTTCAAATCAATTTCTTTTTGGTTCAAATCAATTTTATTTGTCACACATAAATTTTATTTGGTTCAGGAAAAATTTTATTTGCGTTAAATAAAATTCTTATTTACAACAAATAAATAATTCAGTAGACAAAAGTAAATTTTTTTATGGTTTAAATCAATTTTATTTGGCTCAAATAAATTTTTTGGTTCAATTCAATATTATTTGATTCAAAAAAATGTTATTTAGCTGTAATTAATGTTTTTTGGCTCAAATAAATTTTATTTGACACAAAAAAATTTTGTTTGGTTTAATTAAATTTGTCTCAAATTAATTTTTTTTTTGCACAATTCAATATTATTTGGTTTAAAAAATTTTATTTGGTTTTAATTAATGTTTTTTGATTCAAATCAATTTTATTTGGCGAAATTAATTTTTATTTGGTTCGAAATAATTTGATTTGCGTTAAATAAAATTTGAATTTAAAAAAAATAAATGATTCATTATAGGTTCTGTGACAAATATACTTTTTTATTTGACTCAAAAAAAAATTGTATTTAAAAATGAAATATAAAATAAAAGTTTTATTATAGGTTCAAATAAATAAAGTCGAGAATAAATTTTATTTGATTAAAATAATTTTCATTTGGTTTAAAATAAAATTTTTATTTAAAGCAAATAAATAATTTAGTAGGCTCTGTGACAAATATACTTTTATTTGACTCAAATTAATTTTTTTTTTGGTTTAAATAAAACATTTCTCTGGGTGGATATAAGAAACTTTCCATTCACTACGAAATTATGTGCAATGCCAAAACTTCGTTTTTACTATTTACTTTATTATTTATATTGTTGAGTACTATTTTAACTAATATAAATAAATAAAAAAACTAAGTAAATAAATGAATAAAAGGAAATTAATAAAATAAATAAATAAAGTAAGTAAAAAACTAAATAGATAAAAGTAAATAAAAAATCGAATTAAAAACATAAACATAAACATAAATTATTTATTTTGTTATTCATCGTGCAATAAAAATGAAACAATTGTTTTCATTAACAAAAACCTTTTTTTTTTAAATTATTTTCTTGAGACCTTTTTTAAAAAATTTGTTTAAAACAAATTTTGTTTTATTTGTTTTATTTTTAATGAATTATTAATTACTAATTAATAATAATTGACTTCTATTACGTTTTGAATAGCAAACGAATGTTTACTTTGTGTAAGTATAAATTTCGCGCACTTTTTCCTAAATTCGATTACTATTTCACTTGTCACACACACATACACATAAACACCACAGAGACACTGGGAAAATTATTCGCGAACTGTTTCAGTAGATTAGCAGAAAGTGGCGAAATTTTTGTTAATCATTGTAATGAGGGGCTCGTTCCACGTGGTGATTGCACAACAAGAAAGGTGAGTATCGAAAACATAACTGACGAGCTCTGAGAACGTGCACTAGACACTGACCGACGTTCACGTTTATGTCGTATCGCTACCCAACATCAGGCATATTGCTCGACCACCTGTGTATGCATCTTTTTTCTACCTGTTTTTTTTAAAGAGAGACACAAGGCCTCGAGGGAGAGACACAGAAACTACATATGTATGTGTATTTAAAAGGTGCCAGCCTTCCTCATCTCTCCAACGCCTCAATTAGGAATTTTTAAAAGAAAACTATTTTCTTTGAATTTTTCAATTTTCCTTTCTTTGTGTTTTCAACGCAGTTTTTTTCTAGATGGACAAAAATTCCGTTTCATTATGAATGAATTTTTATTCATATTTTTATATTATTTCCCGGATGGCTGATTATCATACACACAGGGAATAAATATATTTGACTCAGAACCACCTAGACGTTTTATTTGTTTCAAATAAATTTTAATTGGTTTAAATAACATTTTATTTGGCTCAAATATATGTTTTATTTGTGTCGAATAAAATTTTTATTTAAAACAAATAAATAAATTATATTTGGTTTGATTTAAATAACATTTTCTCTGGGTGTATAGAAATCAATATTGATACAATGGAAAAAAATTTATTTGATTCCCATAGACGATTACTTGATTATTATAACAATTAAATATTTAATTGAATCAAATTAGATTTATTGGAGTCAATTAAATGGTATTTACATACTTTAAATACTGAAATTACACCCAGAGAAAAATATTATTTAAACCAAATATATTTTATTTGAGTTAAATAAACGTATATTTGTCTCAGAACCAACTAGACTTTTTATTTCTTTTAAATAAAAATTTTATTCGACACAAATAAAACATATATTTGAGATAAATAAAATTTTATTTAAACCAAATAAAATTTATTTCAAACAAATAAAAAGTCTAGTTGGTTCTGAGACAAATATACCATTTCTCTGAGTGTAGTGGTTCAAATATACCATTTAATTGACTCCAAAAAATATTATTTGATTCAAGTAAATATTTAATAAAATTAATAATAGTCAATCGGTTATTTGAATCAAATACATTTTTTTCCATTATCAATCCTACGAAATTTTTTGTTTCGACACAAAATATTCATTTCGAATTATAATTTACTAGAAATTTGATTACTTTGAATTAGTATTAGGACGATTGAATTGTTATTTGTTTAAATTATAATTTATAATTAAAATTTTTTGCTTTTAAAATTTCAAAATCGAGTAAATTTAGCAGTCTATACCTTAATTTAAGACTGCCATGCTGCCTTAAAATAAGACTTTATTTTTACTGTTTAGATAAAAATTGACAAAATTTAGTGGAAGGTGAAGAAAATATGGTAAATGTAAACATTACGTTACAGTTTTGAAGTAAATAAACTAAAAGGATGATAAGGGAAGATGATAAGAGAAGAAAAAAACTTTTATTAACAGCTCACTATAACTAGAGATAAGCAATTAAATGAAAATCTGACAAGAATGCATTGTTACAGAAGCAGATTGAATAGTTGTGCAGGATCGATGCCTCTCTGACACTTTACCCACTTGCACATCGTTAGAACGTTACTCAGTGCATCCGAACGGAAAGAGTTTTCAGGGGCGGAAGTACATCCTTCTCCCTCCAATTTCATGTTCACCATTCCCTCCAATCGGCCTCAACCCTACACGTTATGTGTGTAGGGACCGTTCCACAATAACTTGAACGTTGAGAGGATGCGGTTACTGTCTCTCTTTTCACCTTTCACTCTGTCTCTTTTTCTCCCTCGCGTTACAGTTTTTTTCCAAATAAAATTCCAACTGTACGTTAGGAACTGTTTGTAATTTGATAGCATGCATATAAAAGGGATCATGAGTTTTAAGATTTCAGTATTGTTGCTTATTATCTACTTCTTATGCAAGCCATCATATGCCCCATCTTTTCATTTCATTTTGTCGCATAAGTTGACAATTTTTTTTACTATTTTCGTTCTTTTATTTTTTTTTATTTACTATTTTTTGATCTTTCATTCTTTTTTTCTTCAACTATCTTTTGTTCTTCCATATTATTTACTTTTACTATTTTTCGTTCTTTTTTTATTTTACTACTGCTTGTTCTTTTATTTTTTCTATAATTTCACAGTTTTTTAATCTTATCAAATCGAGACAAAAAAGAATCAAACGTTTTTTTGTCTCAATTTGATATTCTTATAGAAAAACTGTGTTTAGAATAAACCAGACAGTAGTCTTCCACGTGTGATTGTTCCTTATGGTCCTACAAAACTATTATACCAATCATGTTTACAAAAAAAATTAGTAAATAAACAAGTAAGAATATACGACAGTAGTCAACCACCTTCAAAAACCGTAGAAAATCATTTTTTTTTAATTACAAAAGCTTGTATTTGTTTATAATGATCTTAGAAATGATTAGTAAGAAACAAATTGTTTTTATCTCATACAGTTTTATAGCTATTCAAAACTGAAAAGTGTCCGACTATGTCTGGTTTACTCTACTAATCGATTATTGCATGGAAAGACATTTTATTTCAAAATTTAATAAAGAGATTGATAAAAATAAGATATTCGATGTTGATGATTGCAGAAATTCAATTATGTTCAAAATTAATAAAATTCTTCGCAGAAATTAAATTATGTCAAAATTTTTTTAAAATTCTCGTCAAAATTTTAATTATCTTTATAAACAATAAAAATCTTCTCCGAAATTCAATTATTTTCAAAAATTTTAATAAAGTTTAATTACAATTAGATACTTTCAAAAATTTCACTCAATTCAAATTTGAATCCAAAAATCTGAATTTCAGTACGGTAAGAGGTTCTAAAATTTTGACCAAACAGAAGGCTTGCATAAAGGAACATTTACTCAAAATTTTGAAGAAAGTGTTTTATCAAAATTGATTTTTTCAAGTATAAAAGTAAGAAATACCATCAAAGTGAATAAAATATTGTACCAAAAGTTTAGTTCATTTTATGATTTAACCCACACTTTTGATATCAATTTGTTGCAATTTATTACTTTAAAGTTAACAGTGGAAATGAAAGTCAAAGTAGAAACGAAATTACAGAATCGACCACTCCAGGAGTCCAAATTGATTCTAAAAAACTTTAAAGAGATAAGAATGTATGTTCTCTTTTATTTGGTATAAATTCCCACTTCTTCTGTTTGCTTGTAAATTGTAAACGATGTATTAAAATAAAACAGAAGGCAAATAATGTTAAGGAGTAGTTCTTAACAATTTCAATATTTATTATTCTTTCCCACGATCTTTTTATTTTATTTTTTTTATTCTTTTCACTTTCCCGCTTATGTGTGCAGACATCCGTGTCCTCCCTTCACATTCGTTTCAGGAAATTACAGGACATACGTAGTTGAAGGTGTGGCGTGTCGGCATGCCCCTCGAATCCGTGATCACTCTCAAAGGATTTGCTTCGATGCGCGTTTCACCCAAAAAAGCGGTTACTTATACTTACGTGTGTGAACCTTGTTCAAACTTGTCTTTTTGATGATCGCTACACTTCGGGGGAGGTCCCGGAGTTCTTACATATTTCTCTCTCTCTCTCTCTCTCTCTCTCTCTCTCTCTCCATGTCAAAACAAAGAAACGTACACTGCAGGAAACGACTGAGGTCACCGGAAATAGCAGTGCACGGATGTAAATGATAAAATGTTACACACATATTGACAAATTACTCTTTTCAAATATTTATTCTCGTTCATTAGCTGTGAACAAGATTTTTCTTTCTTGAGATTGAGAATAATATTATTTTTTCTATCAATATTTTGATTGTTAACCTATCTTATATATATTAAGAAAAAATGCTATTGAATCAATGATATATTTGTTTGTCGCAATAAACGGCATATTCAATATCGTTCGAATACAAATACTGTTGGTTCAATAACATGTGCTATTGATTATTGCAGTATAGATTTAAATAAATCTTGTATTATATTATTACAGAAGTTATAGTATTAAATGCTATAATATCAAGAAATGCATTTCGCAAGTATAATTAAATCAATTCAATAGCATGTACTAGTGATTTAATTTCTATTTTCTTTTCAATCAATAGTGCATGCTATCAATTTTAAAGTATACATGAGCATTGAATTTATAGCATTAATTTCAATTATCAAAACTGTTGCTTTGAAAAAAAAACGTTTTAAGAAATAAACCTATATCTTTGCTCTTTAAGGGCATCCGGGGATTGACCTTCTGAAAAAGTGGTTTCCCGCGTGTCTTTTTATTTCTAAGTGAGAAGAGATATCGAGCTGGGATTTTTGATTTAATTAGAGGAGAACTTACTGGATAGAGAATCTTCTCCATATTTGCAAGTATGTTTTGAAAAAGGTATTGAAAAACAAAGTTAAAAAGTTGATGTTAATTTGAATTCCCTTATATTCAAAAATGATGAAATTAATACCGCTTGTGAGAGAAAAAATTAATTTTTCAAGTAGGTATATTCAGTGGCAAAAAATGTTTAATAACCTAATTACATTATTTTATAAATCTTGTTAAAATCCAATAAAAGACTGCGGTTAAACAAAGGACGAAAAAAATAATAAAACACATAAAATTTGAGTGGAGTCCAAATAGAGGGCACCACCTTTTCTATCACGCATTTTCAAAAATAAAATATATTACATTAAAATTTATCCTTGTTTCTAAAACTGATTTCCAACATCCTCCCACCTTGAGACTCTGTCTCACTATAAAAAAGATTACTCACATCCAAAAAACACACATAAATACATCCAAAAATCACACATTAAATAAATTCACTGACATTGAAAATATTCAGGCTTTTTAACAAGACGTCCACTTTTCGTTGTAATTATTTTTATCCCTCTATCTATCGAACTATTCTTTGATTTTTGTTCATTTTCATGAATACAATTGTCACTAATCACATTATTTTGAAAATCTCGCGGTACATTTTTGATATTATTGAACTCACTTTGAGAAATTTCAAGGGGATAGATTCGTTGAACCGGTCTCTTTAATCTTCCCTCTTTTGTTTTCAAC